TTTTTTTTTTTTTTTTGGGTACAGCTTGAATTAAAAAAATAATGTATAAAATACTCCTAAGTCTTAAATGAAGTCTCAATCTACCTAACAAGAAAAAGAGATTTTTTCTCGTCTTTGTCAATACACGCAAATGACGAAACACATGCATATTTTCACTCGGGCCAAAAACAAGAAATAGAATTGTGAAATTGGAAACTAACAACTCCAAGAAAGGGACTACTCCCAAACCTAATGATTGTCTCCTTTTCTTTTTATAGAAAAAATAAAACAAAGAGATTTAAATCAAATTCTCAAGAATATAAAAAAAAACATGCATTTTGTAATAGAAAGACAAATGAGTTAAGCATGAAAATAAGTTTTTGTGAGCTTAAGCTCAAATTGAGTTGCACAAAGTTTAATATTGATTTTTTTTTTTTTTACAAGGGGAATATGAGTTCGAGAGTTAGTATCTGCTCAAATCAGGATCGAACCAAGAAAATAAGTGAACTTCACCTGTTACTCGTGGAGTAGCGTGACCCATCTACTAAGTTACATGGAGAAGTTCAAAGTTTAATTTTGATTTAAATTCATACCATCAAGCTAGCTAGTTAAATATTCAAGTTAAACCTCTCCATATTTATACATTTGGCTCAAAATGTTAAACAAGTTCAAATTCAAAACTAAACTCAATTACAATTAAATTCAAGTTAAGCTTAAACAAACTTAAACTCAAGCCTCCAGCCCTTGGCTGCCCCAACCTACTAATTCAAGTACAAGTTTGGAAAAGTGTTGGCCACACACTCTATTATGACACATAATTTGTGGTGATTAAAAATAAATGATGGAAGACAAAGTTAACATATTTAAATTTAGGTTAAAGTACTAATTTGGTCCCTCAACTTTCAGATTTGTACCAAAATTATTCTTAAACTTAAAAAAGTACTAAAATTGTCTCTAAACTTTAATTTTTAGTACCAAAATAATCATTGAATTTTAATTCAATACCAACTTAGTCTTGAACTTTGAAGACAAGTATCAACTTAGACCTTAAACTTTGATTATAAGTGCCAATTTAGTCATTTAATTTTGATTACATATTAATATGATATATAACTAGAAATATGCTACAAAGACAAAATATAACTGTTTGATTTTACATATCATTAATATTTAAAAAAAAGAACTAATTTTGTGGCAAAATGACAACTTACGTGACACTTTTGTTAACAAAAGGATTATTTTAGTATTGAAAATTAATGTTTAAGGATAATTTTAGTACTTTTTGAAATTTAAAGACAATGTTGATATAAATCTAAAAGTTGAGAGAACAAATTAATATTTTAACCTTAACTTATAAGTTGGGTGCTTAGACTGCTTCTAGATATTGCAAAACTCAGTTAGCTATGCTGATCAGAAAAAAAAAAAAA